ATGTGTTCATGATAGTCGCAGAGGATCTTTTGCATTTCAGTGGGATTGGTTATAATGTCACCTTTGTCATTTCTGATTTTATTTGGATCTTCTCTCTTTTTTCTTTGTTAATCTAAAGCAGTCTTTCAATCTTGTTTATTCTTTAAAAAGCCAACTTTTTGTTTCATTGATCCTTTCTATGGTTTTTTTGGTCTTAATTGCCTTAATTCTGCTCTGAGTTTAGTTATTTACTTTCTTTTGCCACCTTTGGGATTAGTTTATTCTTGTTTTTCTAGTTCCTTTAGGTGTGATGTTAGATTGTTAATTTGAGGTCTTTCTATCTTGATGTTGGTTTTTAGCACTATCAACTTTCCTCTTAACACTGCTTTTGCCACATCTCAGAGGTTTTGTAGTGTTGTGTCTCTATTTTCATTTGCTTCTGTCAGTGGGATACCCCAGTATTATTGTGTGAGTGTCTAAGTCTTTTTGGAAGTCTAAAAGTACTTATTTCATAAAGCTGGGTGCTTCAGTGTTGGGTGCATACATATTTAGGATAGCTAAATCTTGTTGAATTGAACCCTTTATCATTATGTAATGCCCTTCTTTATTCTTTTTTAACTGTTGTTTTAAAGTCTGTTTTATCTGACACAAGAATAGCAACCCCTGCTCCTTTTTGTTTTTCATTTGTGTGATAGATCTTTTTCCCTCCCTTTACTTTGACCCTGTGGGTATCAATACATGTGACATGAATCAGGCAGCAGAAAGACGGGCGTTTTTCTAAATTCAATTTCACACTCTATGTCTTTTAAGTGGAGCATTTAAGTTGTTTACATTCAGAGTTAATATTAATATGTGAGATTTTGTTTGTCATACTGCTGTTATTTACTTGATTTGTAGTTTTGCTTATGTAGTTGCTTTATACATGGGTCCCGGATCCATGGGCTATGTGCCTATGTGTGTTCTTATGGTAGTGAGTATCATTCTTTCATTTTCATGTTTAGAACTTCCTTAAGCATCTCTTATAGGGTGGTGATAAATTCACTTAGCAATTACTTGTCTGGGAAGGATTCTATTTCTCCTTTGTTGAGTAAGACCTGAAAAGCACAGGCAGCCAAAGCAAAAATAGTTTTACTTTTTTTACCCAAGATGGTGGATTAGAGGCTTTTAGGGTGCCTCAGCCACTTGGAAATAGCAAAATAGTGCATAAAGATAAACTCTGGGAGAAAAATGGGAATTCATCAGTAAAGTGAAGGACACCCTAGGCCCTGAGGAGAAAGTGGTTAAGCAGCCCCTATGATGGCTTCAGCTGATAAAGTGAGTGAAGCTGAAGCTTTTTGATGAGGTGAGGCTTTTTAATTTTTTATTCTTTTTTTCCTTTGAGGGTATGACTGTGGTATATGTTGTATATGTCAGGCTTCATTTCTGGATGCTTTCAGAGGGTCAGAGCTCTGTATAGTTTCCTTGGTTGCAGACAGATTTGTACAGTGACTTTCTCAAATGTCGCTTGATGTAGCAATGTATTTTTGTTTGGTGGTATAATTCAAGCTGCAGACCAATAGATAGTGCTTGAGAGTAAAAGCCACCAAGAGGTTCTTACTCTGCATGCTCACCCTTGGTGGGACAGAGGAAACAGAAAAGGGTGAAAAACGTCCTTCCCCAGTGTAACTGGTCTTTGATGGGAGTAGAGCCCCTGGAGAAGCCTGAGAAGTACCCCTCTCAGCCCATGCTCCCCGGGCCACAATAGAAAGAGTTGCTGCCACATCTGTAGCAGTGCACTGGTGATGGGGGCAGGGTGCAAGAGATAACCCCTTCTCCAAGTCTCCAAGAGCTTTGCTGTTGCCCCCTTCAGTGGCTGACACCGCACTTTCATTTCCTTTAATCCAAGGGAGGTTTTGGTGGGCTGCATTTTCCCCTCCCTGAAGGGTGGTCCATCCCAAGAGTTGGATGTCCAGGCGAGTAGGGGTCCACCTCCCTCTCTCCCCTTGGAATACGTGGGGCACTTTCTCCCAAACTGACCAAGGGAGCATACTAAGGCACTCAGTAATGACACACATATACTGGTTCCAGGTCACAAATCTATCCCTGGCTGCAAGTCATCCTACCCAGGAGAAACCTTCGCTTCAGCAATTCTCTTCCCACTCCAGTCCTGCAATGGAAGAGAACCTAATTTTAGTACCTACTGCTGGGGTGCTCCCACACTCACTGCTCAATTCTGGCTGTGGGGTTTCTTCCCCTACTCCAGAGCAATCTCTCTAACCTGAGACTAAAATGTCTGCAGTGGCTGCTGTTGCCAGGTCGCCAACGACTTTGTATGAGCCCAGATTAAAAATGGCGTCTTCCTTTCAGTCCTAGGTCTGGGAAAATGTCTGCAGCTTTTTCCAGTGTCTTTCCCTCTCTCTATCTCTCAGCCTCTCTCCAAGCTCACTCTTGAGCTTGGAGGAAACAGGGTGCTCTCTCTTGACCTGGGTTGCACAGATCACTAGCAGAAAGGTAAGAAATAGAGGGAGATTGGGATTGGCTGCCTCGCGCATGTACTGGGCTTCACTCACTTTATCAGCTGAATGCCATCATGGGGGCTGCTTAATCTTCTCCTCCTCAGGGTCTGGGGTGTCCTTCACTATTCTGATGAATTTCCATTTTCTTCCCAGAGTTTATTATTATTATTACTACTATTATTATTTTTCTTCTGAGACGGAGTCTTGCTCTGTCGCCCAGGCTGGACTGCAGTGGCACGATCTCTGCTCATTGCAACCTTCGCCTCCCAGGTTCAGGCAATTCTCCTGCCTCAGCCTCCCCAGTAGCTGGGACTACAGGCATGCGCTACCACACCTGGCTAATTTTTGTGTTTTTAATGGAGACGGGGTTTCACCATGTTGGCCAGGCTGGTTTCAAACTCCTGACCTCAAGTGATCTGCCCGCCTCAGCCTCCCAAGGTGCTGGGATTACAGGCGTGAACCAGCGCATCTGGCACTGAGTTTTTCTTTATGCACTATTTTACTATTTCCAAATGGCTGAGGCATACTGAAAGTCTGTAATCCATCATCTTGGGTGAAAAAAGTAAAACTGACTGGGTGCGGTGGCTCACGCCTGTAATTCCAGCACATTGGGAGGCTGAGAAGAGTGGATCACCTGAGGTCGGGAGTTCGAGACCAGTCTGACCAAAATGGAGAAACCCCATCTCTACCAAAAATACAAAAAATTAGCCAGGTGTGGTGGCACATGCCTGTAATCCCAGCTACTCGAGAAGCTGAGGCAGGAGAATTGCTGAAACCCGGGAGGCGGAGGTTGTGGTGAGCCAAGATAACGCCATTGCACTCCAGCCTGAGCAACAAGAGTGAAACTCTGTCCCGCTCCCCTCTCCAAAAAAAAAAGGTAAAACTATTTTTGCTTTGGTTGCCTGTACTTTTGAGGTTATACTCATGAAATTTTTGCCCAGACCAATGTCCTGGAGTGCTTCCCCAATGTTTTCTTCTGGTAGTTTCATGTCTTAGAATTGAGTCTTTAAGCCAGGTGCGGTTGCTAACGCCTGTAATCCCTGTTCTTTGGGAGGCTGAGGTGGGCGGATCACTTGAAGTCAGGAGTTTGAGACTAGCCTGGCCAACATGGTGAAACCCCATCTCTACCAAAAATACAAAAATTAATCGGGCTTGGTGGCAGGCACCTGTAATCCCAGTTACTCAGGAGGCTGAGGCAGGAAAATAGCTTGAACCCTGGAGGTGGAGGTTGCAGTGAGCCAAAATCACACCAACTGCACGCCAGCCTGGGCAACAGAGTGAGACTCCGTCTCAAAAAAAAAAAAAAAAAAAAAGTCTTTAATCCATTTTGATTTTTGATTAGTATGTGGCAAAAGATAGGGTCCTAGTTTCATGCTGCACATGAATATCCAGTTTTCCCAGTACCATTTATTGAAGAGTTTGTTCTTTTCCCAATGTATGTGCTTGGCACCTTTGTCAAAAATGCGGTAAATGTGCGTTCATAAAAGAATGAAATCATATCCTTTGCAGCAACATGGATGAAGCTGGAGGCCATAATCCTAAACGAATTAACGTACGAACAGAAAACAAAATATCACATGTTCTTGTAAGTGGGAGCTATTAAATCAAGTTTAGCCAAAAGCTGCCTCCTTACATATTTTAAGTTCAGTCTAAAGGTTTCTCTGTATATTGTGAACTATAACAAGTGGAGGTGTAAACAGATGGTAGTCTACACTTGTACCAATCACTGAGTTTTGGCCAATCAAATGTAGTCAACTGTCCAAACTGTGTTCAAATAAGGCAAACGCCGAACTGTAACCAATCTAGTTGCTTCTGTACCTCTCTTCCATTTTCTGTTATCACTTTCCTTTTTCTGTCAATAAATCTTCTTCTACCACGGGGCTGCGCCTGAGTCTCAGAGCCTACTTTGGCTCAGGAATCGTTCATTGCTCAATTAAACTAATTTAAGTATAATTTGGCTGAAGTTTTTCTTTTAACAGAGCTACACATTGAATACCCATAGACATAAACATGGGAACAGTAGACACTGCAGACTCCTAGAGAGGGGAGGAAGAAGGGCATGGGTCAAAAATCTACCTGTTGGGTATTGCTTATTACCTGAGTGCAATATACCCTTCTAAAAAACCTGTACATGTACCCCCAATATCTAAAATAAAAGTTGAGAAAAAATGAGTTCAATTGTAAATGTGTGGATTTATTTCTGGATTCTCTGTTCTGTTCCATTGTTTTATTTACTTCTGGGTTCTCTGTTCTGTTCCAAACCAGCCTTGGTACTGGTTTTTAATGCCAATAACAAGGCTGTGTGATTATCATCCCCTCTTATCTCTCATTCTCTCTCCCTCTAGACAAAGAGCTTCCTGAGAGTCCTTCATTACTTTCTTTGAGTTCCCAGCACTTGGCACAGTCACTGGGACATGATAAGTGCTCAAAAATATTTGAGGAATTATACTGAAATTAAGAACTATTGGACTTCTTCTCCAAGAAAACACCAAATGGCGAATGACGCTGGTGCCGGGGGGAGCCCAGAGGTCCTGGTGGCCCTGGGATGGGGAACAGCGGTGGCTTCTGTGGAGGTTTCGGCAGTGGCATCCGGGGCCTGGGTCGCAGAGCTCACGGAGGCAAGGCCGAGGATAAGGAGTGGATGCCCGTCACCAAGCTGAGCCCCTTGGTCAAGGACATGAAGATCAAGTCCCTCGAGAGTATCTCTCTCTTCTCCCTGCCCATTAAGGAATCTGAGATCATTGACTTTTTCCTGGGGGCCTCTCTCAAGGACGAAGTTTTGAAGATTATACCGCTGCAGAAGCAGACCCGTGCTGGCCAGTGCACCAGGTTCAAGGCTTTTGTTGCTATCGGGGACTACAATGGCCACGTTGGTCTGGGTGTTAAGTGCTCCAAGGAGGTGGCCACCGCCATCCGTGGGGCCATCATCCTGGCCAAGCTCTCCATTGTCCCCGTGCACAGAGGCTACTGGGGGAACAAGATCGGCAAGCCCCACACCGTCCCTTGCAAGGTGACAGGCCGCTGCGGCTCTGTGCTGGTGTGCCTCATCCCTGCACCCAGGGGCACTGGTGTCGTCTCAGCGCCTGTGCCCGAGAAGCTGCTCATGATGGCTGGTATCGATGACTGCTACACCTCAGCCCAGAGCTGCACTACTACCCTAGGCAACTTCGCCAAGGCCACCTTTGATGCCATCTTTAAGACCTACAGCTACCTGACCCCTGACCTCTGGAAGAAGACTGTATTTACCAAGTCTCCCTATCAGGAATTCACTGAACACCTCGTCAAGACCCACAGCAGTCTCCGTGCAGCGGACCCAGGCTCCACCTGTGGCTACAACATAGGGTTTTTATACAAGAAAAATAAAGTGAATTAAGCCTGAAAAAAAAAAAAAGAAATATTGGAGAATCTACAGACAGCAGCCAAGAAAGATGAAAACGGCATTCACAAAGAAAGAAAAAGAAAAGCTGGCACACTGTTTAGCCTAAAGAAAATAATGAGGCATTTACCAGTCTTCAAAGAGATTTGATAATGAATTTTTAACCAAAAGATGCTAAGTTTGAAGGAGTCATTTTTACATATAAGTGCACTTTATGCATGCTATCCCTTAATCTGAAAGAATAGGAAAGAGGGGATGGGCAGGAGGGAAGGAGAGAGAGAGAGAGAGAGAGAGAGGGAGAGAGAGAGAGAAATTAAACTACCCTGGGTTACACGCAGATTTCTCCATAGCCTCTTTCAGTGGCAGAAAATAGTGGTGTGATGTCTACACCATTCTGAGGAAAATAATGACCCTAAAGTGTGATCCTAAAATGCTATGTCCAGTCGAGTTGTCCTTTTAACTGTAAAGCTCAAAGACAGTCATTCTTAAATATATGAACACTCAAGAAATACAATACTCATAAATCTTCCTTGACAGAATTTTGGCCACAAAATCCAGATAACCAAGAAGTGAATAATAGTGAGGACCGAATCGATTTCAATGTAAAATGGAGACTGAATAATTATGGAAGTTAAGGTAATATAACAGAATATAAATGTTATTAGAACTAAAAAAAATAAAAATCTAAAGGTGGGAGAAAGAAGGTTAGAAGCCATGAGCAGGCTAATTTCCTTATCTATAGCAGAAAGTCAATAGATACTATCTAAAGTTGAAATGCATAATTATAAAATGATTCCAGAGGAGGTAAAGTTGCTGTCCAGTTAGTTTCCCTATCTACTCAAAGGACTAAACTAGAGAGTGGACTTTGCCACTAAGTTCCATTATATATTTAAGAACTATCTTCTTGAAATCAAAATTGATTGAGGACTATCCTTTCCCTAAAATTAAAAGAGGCAACAATCTCCACATTAGATGTTTTAAAGGTTGGGTAACCAACTATCTGTCTGCAGTTTAGAAATGAGTGCAGAGAGATATTAGTGTCCTTATAAGCTGCAAATTTCTGGTGTCAGAAAGAAGGCTGAAGCCTACCACCCACTAGCCCTAGGCTCTGGTGTTCATCCCACTATTATCAAACCACCAATGAGAGAAAACTAAAATGAAAAAGAATGGAACCAGCCAGCCAGTACAATCTTAGTGCTTAGGCAAGGAGATGCAAGAGAGACCAGGACAATGAGCTCAGACCCATCTCCAGATCCTCAGGGTTAAGATCCAAAGAGAGAGAGCAAGGGAGAGAGACTGGTAAACGGGATAGCAGTCTTTATAGATAGCAGCCTCTCTGCTTGAGGAAGAAGGCATAAGGATCCGAACATAAATTCCTAGGGGCCTAGTTCTGTAATTTTTGTCCAGCAGCAATACGGACAGTGAGTGAGACAAAGCAAGAGGAAGAAAAGTGATAGCCCAGTCTTATCACGTATGCACACAATCTCTTTGTACACTTGCAGTCTCCCACACAGATGCCTTGAGTATCCTGTGCCCTTTGTCTTCATAGTTAGAGAACACCCCTTACCTGTCTGCCACCTGTTGTTTCTTCTTCCCTGTTTCTGGTTATCTCCATAACTGGAGTCTCTCCTCAGACAAAAACAAAACCCATCTATCTTTCTCTCGGTTTCAACAGGCAATCCCTAATTTGCCATTGCCATGAAAACTTTGGGGTACTGGAGAGAAGGAAAAGAAGGAGAAGCAGGCTTTGTTTGGCTAGTGATTGTCAAACCTTGGTGCAGAAAAGGACTTCTGGGAAAAGAGTTAGCAGAGAGAGCACAAGACAAGAGAAAAAGAAAAGAAAGAAACTTTCTGGGCATGTTGCTTTGGCTGAAGAATGTGTCAGAAAAAGAAGGAAAATCTGAGTTTGCCATTGTCAGCACCCTGACTCCTAGAATGTTGTCTTAGGTCGCGTCTGAGCACTTTACTCAGTGTCTTTCCACTCAAGCATTAATTTGGCTGTAGTGACTGGAGCAAAATCCCTGTGTCTCAATGCCCGATTTCTTCATCAGTGGAAGGAGGACATATGAAATGGTAAAGTTTCTTAAAACAATCTAGAGAGATGCAGGGGATCACAGTATTATATGTGAAGTTCCTTGCCCAATGAGATACCATCTCACACCAGTTAGAATGGCAATCATTAAAAAGTCAGGAAACAACAGGTGCTGGAGAGGATGTGGAGAAATACAAACACTTTTACACTGTTGGTGGGATTGTAAACTAGTTCAACCATTATGGAAAACAGTATGGTGATTCCTCAAGGATCTAGAACTAGAAATACCATATGACCCAGCCATCCCATTACTGGGTATATACCCAAAGG